ACTGTTACTTTTCAAGCCAGTTCATCAACTACTATCTACAGCGTAGATAACTATCACTATGCCATGTTACAGTTACCATCGACTAGTTCGACTTCTTTTACTTATACTATCTCTTATGTGTGTAAAAATAAAGATGATTGTGTTCGAGATTTAGCACAAAATGCAACAAATGAAATGCTTAAGCGACGATATGATTTTCATGCAATTGTTAATGAACTTACACCATTAGTTTCGAGATCTTCTACTATCATCGAATAATACAGATCTTGTTTGTTTTGATTCAAGTGAAAATGTGCGTCATTGTGCTATAGCTGGTAAGCGTGGATCATGTGTCATATCACATAAATTAATTGAGAAAAGTGACATAACTCGTTCGTGTGAGAATCGAATAGCTGTGGGTGTATCCTATGTAAGTTTAATACAAACTGATAATTCTACTATATTTGATGTTCATTGTGATCGACCTTTCTTTAATGGACATTTAACAATACAAGCTACTAAATATATTATGTCTAAATATAGTATTACTCAAACACCTGATGGAAAACCGATTGATGTTAATTTAAATTACGGGTCGAAATTAATAACATCTGTTTTACTCATGATAATAATGATTTTTGTTTTATTTTCAAATCAATATTAAACTCATACTTTAATTCTGGTTAAATATTTAAGTGACATTGTATAAAGCAAAGTCTGTTGTGACACTCTTGGAAATTTTCCACATTGACTCTGTCGCAGGTTCATAGGTTTTCATATGTTTCTGTAAAGGATTCACTAGACTTATTTCAGCTAAAGCATACGTTGAAGCTAATATAAAAGCACAATCCCAAAAAAAAAAAGTTACTGCAAACTATTTCTTTGAAAAGATTCCAGCTATTTCGAAAACATAATCAACCCACATGTCAAAATTATGACGACAAAACTTGGTGTTTTGGGTCAACTCCTCAGTTTTTGTACAATGATTTCGTTTCAAAGTAACACTATTCGATTCAGAATCCAATTCTGCATCCATCCTGAGCAGCTAGAAACTCATCTAAAGTCTAGGAGCAGATGTCAACAAGTATTATGACTCCGATCGATTCAAACACCTAGTGGTTGGGACCAAAGTCCTACTTTTTGTCATATGATCCACTTCAAAAATATTATCGTTCGATAGGTAACAGAATTTCATATTCATTACAACCAATTAAAGAGTCATCACAAGTCCAAGAGTGCGAATATCAGCAAGAAAAACTCGAATACATTGCTAACTTTCCTGACGTATATAAATCTGTGTATGAAGAGAGAGAATAAAGTATGCTTTCATCCAAAGCTATATCTCTTACATTAGAAATAGTTCCATCTTTATTTATAGTAAATGAATAATTTTAAAATAAAAGATATGTCTCGAATCTCTTAATATTGATATTCTTTATATTCTAACAAATTTAGATTTATTTCAAATATGGAAATAATCGATTTAAAACAAGCAGTAGCCCTTATAAATCTTGATTCCGGTTCAGAATGTATTAGACTTTACGCTAATCAATGGTAACAGCTATTGTTCGTTTCTCAATTAACGCATGCTTGAAATTTTGACTATTTTTTACACTCAAAAATAAGATAAATATCTGTATAAAATTTGACTACATAAGAAAGAGTGCACACTGATAAAAAAAAACATATTGTCAATGGAGCGCATTGGTAACAGAAATCGATGAGGACAAAAACATGGACGGGTTAAATACAATAATAGCCACATTTAATCATTTTCCTTAAACTGCCAATATCATTGAACATTACAATAAAATCTATGCGATTTTATATTATCGTCAGTTACATTAACCATCAAATGAGAGGAAAGACTACTGACTGACTACACGAGCCCGAATAATATCAAAAATGATCCTATATGGCATCTGCTTTTCTAAACTTAGACTTGCGTAAAGCAAATCATCATGAGTCTCAGTTGTGTTCAGATATCTTGACTTGGCAGAGACGTGAGAAATAATGAATTTGAATTAGCTATTGCCATATAAAGAAAGTATCAGCGGTTAATTACCTTTTCTTTTTTTTGCTTACTTTTTATAGGTCCCGAACGTAGTCGAATTTTTGAAAAACGGATTTCAGATATACATTCTCTAACGAAATGTATCATCTCCATTTTTATTTCATTTTCTCTATTGATTCTGTAACAATTCTCTTCCCGTGAAACCTCTAAGCTTGACTATCGGATGTGGGTATGAATGTAAGTGTGAGTGGGTGTGGGTGTAAGCAGTTGTTTTCTCTTTATCCACATTCACACTCACTGATCAGAAAAAAAAAGATTTGTTAAAAATTTTTTTTTTTATGAATAACAAATCGTCTTAAAATGCAACAATGAAAATATTCTATTAAAACGAATTCTAGAACTTCCCATATTTCATTCATATGATACACTTATTTTTAACCTTTTGTTTCTTTTCTTCATATTTGTCACTCAACTGTTAAAGAAAATAAAAGGAATTTTAAAAAATTTCAAACGCTTTTTGTAAATATAGAAAAAAAAAGAAAGAAGAAAACAAAAAACACCTGCTAAGAATTTATTTCAACTTTCAATTTTATATTCTGAAAAAGAACCATTCGTTATCAAAAACAAGACATACTCATTTGATATACAGCGCCCTCATCTTGATACAGAACAATATGTGTATATGGCACCAATCAGTATGAAGTGTATGACTCACTCAATTGAAGAAGTGCCTTGATATGCTCTAAGAATGATATTATTATCGATATAGATTAGTTAATGTACATCAAAGATCTTTTCAAGTTCTTTTATTTGAGCTAAGCTGTAATCCATTGGAATTATAATGTACACTTTATCTGCTAACTAAATTTCATGGATTATTTTTGATGTCAAATAGATTTGATAGTTCGATTTCATTTTCAGATGTTGTTAGAAAAAAATGTGCTTATTTGGTATATTCTGATAATAATCATACTTTATATTCTGCAAGGATTTATTCAAGGTTTTACTACATCGATTCCATTATATCTAGTTTCGTATAAAGCATCATGGCAACAGCAAGGTACCTTCAGTTGGGTTTCCTATCCGTTTAGTTTTAAAATCGTTTGGGCACCTATCATCGATCCATTTCAAAGTCGTCGATTTGGACGTTATCAAACATGGTTGGTACCTATACAATTAATTATTGGTATTACTCTGATCATTCTCTCATTCTATTTGGAATATCTCTTGATCAATCTAAGAATTGGCATATTAACAATCACCTTTTTCTTCATGTGTTTTCTCATAGCAAGTCAAGATATCGTTGTTGATGGATGGTCTGTCTCATTGTTCAACAAAGTGAATCCACAATATTCATCAACTTGTCAAACTATTGGAATAATGATTGGACGATTTATTGGTTCGACAATATTAATGACATTTGAATCATCGAATTTTACCAACAAATATATTCGGCAACCTCTCTCTTTACCGCATCGTTCTGATGGATTGTTCTCACTTCAACAATTTATTCGATTTTGGGGTATGATCTTCATTATCGTCAGTATCAGTATGGTAGTCATCTTTTTGTATAAGAAGAAACAATCGAATAAGATAAATAATGTTAATATACAAAAGAGAAGACAAACAAAATTAGATTTGTTTGAAATATATTTGGCCATTTTGAAGTTATTCAAAAAACAATGTATACGTAAATTAACTTTAATATTACTAACCTACAAAGTGGGCTTTGCAGCAACCTACTCGATGACTAATTTGACATTATTGGGGTGAGTCTATCTTTCAGATGATATACTTTGTTCTAATATTCTATGTATATAGATATGGTATAACACGTGACACTCTTGCTCTTATGCATATTCCTTTACTTGTCATACATATTATCTTACCTTTATGTTTGAACGGAACACGATGTCCTCTATTATGGTTCGCTAGAGGATATATTCCACGTTTAATTGGTTCGCTCATTTTAGCCATTTACATTTTCTTCATGTCACAAATTCTGCACACATCGTATTTCTATCCCGTTCTAATTGTCTTACTTTGTTTGAATGAAGCACTTGTGTATTTAATGACAGTATCATGCATTGGATTTTATGCACGAATCAGTGAACCACGTATCGCTGGAACATACATGACATTATTAGGAACAATATCGAATTTAGGTCACAGTTTATCGTCAACATTGGTACTATATATTGCAAATTGGTTGCCAAAACCATATGCATATTCAATTGAAGTCGGAACTTGTATTCTACTAGGTTTTATATGGATAGGATTGACATGGCGTATCATAAGACGTTTGGATGCATTACCTGTCGAAGAATGGTATTTGGAACCTTCTCTTCTAATGATTAATCATTCAACATCTGAAGAAATATGATAATTCACTCTTTTGTAAATAATAATTTATATGTTAATAAATGTTTGCTTTTGCATTTATAATAATTCTTAACGAGAAGTCTGTTTAGACAAAGAATTAATAATATTGACTCAATTCTCGGCAAAATTGCCTTCATACGAACTTTCTATTTAGTGAGTTTTCGTCTGTAAGATTCAAGCAAAAAGATATATTATTGCAGGTCAGAAAGATGAACTGTATCAAATAAATAAATAAACCGTCGATACCGATGAATAGACCGAGCTTGTAATTAAAGCTGCTCAATCTTTGTCATATGGCATTGAAGTTGAAACAATGCCATAAATATCATTTAAATGTATTTAACTGAATTTATCGATCTTTTTAAGTAAATATTTATTTCTACATATGAATTGATCAATTCCAATCTATATCATTCCATGAAGTTTTCATTATTTATAAATTAAAAATTTAGTCATTCTCTATACACTTTCTAAGTAATTTGATATTTTTTTAAATGCAAGTCTTTCATTCGAAGGGTATTTTGCAGTTCCAATCACAAATGATATCAGCATGAAGTTTTATACCAAATGAAAGCTCTTTGAAAACGCAATTTAGTAGTATGAATCGTAATTGATAGAGTGATAATGAGCTAGAGAATTCCCAAAGTTTCCAAAATTTCGAATTTATACTCAACAGTTCATTCTTCAATAAAGTGCCAATTAAATCACTTGATAAAAGTAAACGTGTAAGACTTTCACTCGAAGCTGAATGTGTACATGAGATAACCTGAGAATCGAATTACAACGACACACATCATTCATTGTAATATGTAATTATTGTACAGAATATGATGTTAGTTATAAAGGTCAATGATGTAAGTGACATTATGTTTCAAAATGAGTTTTTCGAAAACTATACATGACAATAAGAGACACATCACAAAGAATAATCTGCTATTTACTTAAGAGTCAATTACATGATACCCAACAAAATCTCAATAGGATTTGAAACTGTTATTGTTTAAAAAAAAGCATTTCTTCAATTATGATTTATTAGTCGTCTTCAACTAATTTGCTACAAGTTGTTCTAAAAAAAACTAAGAGAGAAACGTCATATGAATAACACTTTGTGCTTCTAAATGTAAATTATTAGATATTGATAAATGCATAAAATTTGTAAGTTTTGATTGAGTTCAAGATAGTATTGATCTTTTATACAAACACTGTGGTAAAACTATTATTAAGTTCAAACTTATATGCATAACTTCTATTAAGTTTTTAGGATTGTCTTAAGTGAAGTAATATCATATGTAGCTACACTTATTGCAAAAGGGTGTGGGTGAATGGGAGTTGGGCTAAGCCTGACATCCACACCCACATCCACCCACCCACACCCATACCCACACCCACACCCTCTAGAAAATAAATATTAAAAATTGTTGAAATCAACGTCACATTAAGATTCGCCACTTTCATCAGTTTTTTTCGAAAGAATCATTATCACTACTAAATCTTACTATTTATCACAGTATTCTTAGTAATGATAGGCAACATCAGATTCTTCATGCTCTCGGGTATTTAAAATAGGTATGATTATCAACTTAAATCTATAGACAATATACATACATGCCTGTTTAAACTATAAACATAGAATAACCCTCCAACTACTTACGCGAAATTCTTTTCTCTTCTAGTCTAGGGTATTATATAAGATGTAACTGATAACATGCAAATGCACATGTAAAATGATTAAAAACGTGTTTATTTGATTCTTTCTATTATAACCGAATTACAAATCATTATGAAATTTGAATTATTACCAAATGAAATTTTCATTGAAATCTTTGAATTTCTTCGTATATTTGATATATTTTATTCATTTAATCAGTTAAATGATCATTTTAATAAACTTATTGGGACCATTCCATCACATTTTAATTTTAAGTATATTCAAAAAACAAGATTTGATCGATTTTGTAAATTGTTATTATCAAATCTTGATGTAAAAAATCAAGTTTATTCATTAGTATTATCAAATAAAGATACACCTGGTCAAATCAAAACATTTTTATCATTATTTTCATTGAATGAGTTTATTCATCTTGATTCATTAACACTAATTTAAGTTGAAGAAAATATTTTACAAAAATTAAAATCAATATTACCTTTAATACCACAATTACATTCTTTTCATTTACTTGATTCCAATGATATTCATCTAACTCATCCATTAATATCTAATTTACAAATATTATCAATTTCAACATTATCATCAATTAATAACCTTTCATAAATTACAAATCTTACAATTTCTGATTGTTCACTCGACTAATTATTTTATCATTTATTCAAATATGCACCAATGTTAACCTATCTCAATATTCAATACCTTTCCTCATATTATTCTCACACAACAAATTATTCAAATGTTAATTTCATCAAAGCTGTTCATTTAAAAGAATTGTTTATATCTAATTTTAAATATAAATTCAAAGATTTTAAATTATTATCAAAATATATACCAAAATTAACAAGTTTAAAATTCTATGGAACTTATGATTTAGATATGATTGATGCTAATCAATGGGAATATTTAATTATATATATAAGCCTAACGATAATCATATTGAAGATAAATTCAATCAATTTCAAACTGATTTTTGGATAAAACAACATCAATGGTATACTGAATATTCGTTATCAAATCATTTGGCATTGATTTATACAGTACCTCATATGTTAAATTTTTATACATTAGAGTTAGATTCTAATAGATATTGGAATCAGTTAATTAATACATTTAATAATATGAAAAATTTAACATTATATCATACAACAATAAGAGAATCATGTGGACATTATTTTTCAAATGTATGCTATACCAAATTAAAGTGCGTGAAAAACTGGATTTATTGGTACTAAATGGCAAAGGTTATCAAGACCTTTTAATGTCGAATTGAAGAGATTTTCAGAAATTTGATACTTTTTTTCGTATAGAAAAGTAAGATGTCAGTAATTGAAAAATGGAATAAAACATTTTTCTTGAATATTTTTACATGGTTCGATAGAGCTTGTCGAGCTCTACAAAACTGCATATTTCAAAAGTATTTCGAGTCATCTTTTTCAGATAAAAAATTCCAAAAACTACTTGGAAAATCTGAAAAAATGTCGAAAAACTTTACTTTTCTCAAATGACAGAAAAACACTCGATTTTTCAATAAAATTAGCCTTTGTTCATTATTGTTGCTGTCCCATACGTTTCGAAATGTCTTCATTGGATTCAGTTTTTCACGCGGTATCGAATGAACACATTTCGAAACGTGTGAGACAGCAACAGTAATGAACAAAAACTAATTTTATTGAAAAATCGAGTGTTTTTTGCCATATGAAAAAAGTGAAGTTTTTTGAACATTTTTTGAAATTTTTCAAGTAGTTTTTTGAATTTTTTATCTGACAAAGATGGCTCAAAATATTTTTGAAATATGCAGTTTTGTAGAGCTCGACGAGCTCTATCGAATCACGTAAAAATATCCAAGAAAAATGTTTTATTCCATTTGTCAATTACTGACATCTTACTTTTCTACACGAAAAAAAAGTATCAAATTTCTGAAAATCTCTTCAATTCAACATTAAAAGGTCTTCATAACCTTTATCATTTAGTAACAATAAATCCAGTTTTTGACGCGCTTTAATTCGGTATAAAATACATTTATAATATCATTGATCCTTTAAGTTGTAGAGGGGGAGGCAAAGGTTATGTGCCACCCTGTATAAGTCCACTCAGTTTCTAATGCTTATACCAAATATGTTATTATTTTTGATCAAAAAACGTACTCTTTCTAACAGAACTCTGTGAAATATTAGTCAAATATTGATAATTATCTGTACTTTTATGACTTTCACGTGAACATAAGCGCCTCCGAACGAAAGCGTTTCGTCTTTATTGTAGAGATATAATCGTATTACTAATAGTCACTGATTGTCAAAAGTCAAAACTTTATGAAAGTTTTCAGTTGTATCATATCTCTAAAGTATTTCAATCAGGATCAGAAAATACTCGAACAAAGATGAAGATATAGAGCATTTGACACTCCATCGAACTGCATGTGATAGAATTTGCTCATACAATGAAATCTAGAAAAACACGAGAATCATAGTAAACAAAATGTTCCTATGTTTTCATTAATTTAATACAAACATTTTTTCACCATAACTCCTCTCCAATAAGACATATTTGGTCGAAAATTTTAGGTTGAGTGTATCTCATTTACTTCTACTAATTTGCCCAAGTTTTGTTGAATTTGAACAACTTGTTGAAAAACGACAGTGTTCTTTCGAGAGTAATGAATATCAATCGTTCTGGATTTATTGAGATAGACAAAAGCGTGTTGAGACCAGCTGTAGATGTAAAATGTGTGTATAATAGATTTATTTATCAGTCAGACTAGCAGCTAGAATAATAATAATAATATTATTAATAATAGCAAATTAGGAAAAATGATGAAACAAAATAAGAAAAGATAAATAAGATATAGAGTGCCAGCAAAAAAATTAAAAGAAAAAAAATCCTCTGTTTGAAATGTAGAAATAATAAGATAGATCGTTTCTCTACGATCGATCATCTTGAGAAAGTAACTCTTATCTGTGAGAGATATTGTACTGTACATATCTTGTGTTAGTAGAATGAAGTTGAAGAAGAAATGTGAGTTTCACTTTTTAGCTCCAAAGGGACCACGCTGATAAGCTCTTTTTTATAATTAAGGTTTTCGAGCAAGAAAAAAGAATAGAGATGTAAATATATCAAGTTTACGAGCACGTAAGAAACTTGTAACTGATTTTTGCCATATATTGCTCATTGCTGCACTGCCTTTGGGAGCTATTCGAATTTTCTCTGTAAGCCAAATCATACAATGTGCTAATCGTCGAGCAAGAGGACCTGTACGATGATGATTGAATGAGAAAAACGAATCACCACCATCTAGTGGTTGATAACTAGGAATATCAGCTTCAGGTATTATTCGATTTTCTTCAACATTAAAACCAACTGATTCAAGATCCGAAACAAATTCACGGGTTAATTTTAGTTGAGGTAAGGCAAGACTTGCTTCCATCGTACGTATTGTTTCAACATGTTCAGGATTTTGATTATCATATTTATCAGTTAAACAGGCATCATAACCAACAAATGAACCACCTGGTTTAAGTACACGAAAAACTTCAGCAAAACATTTGGACTAAATCATTGTAGAAAAAAGCATTTTCTTTTTTTAAGAAAAAAATATAATAATATACTTTTTCTGGTGCATGACATACAGATTCTATAGCATAAACATGATCAAAACTATTATCTTCAAATGGTAATTTCATGAAATCACCTTGAATAAATTCACAATTGGTCGGTACACCTGAAATGAGGTTTCAATTCATATTCGAAATTTGTTTCAAAAAATAAATACAATGAATTCTTACCGATTTCTCTAGCTCGTTGAACTTGATATGGACTAATTGTTATACCGGTGATATGTGCTCCAGTTAAGTATGCAATACGTCTTAAGGGCCCTCCAACTCCACAACCGATATCAAGTACTTTATCTCCTGGTTTAAGTTGCATTCTTAATGCTAAATAAGATTCATGTCGTTGAATTGATTCTGCGAATGTTTCACCATGAAATCGATTAGCACAATGAAAACTTCTACCCCAACCTGATTCATAAATATCTGTTGTTAAACTATAATAATTCGTTACTAGCGTCGAATATTGAGCTTTTCGTGTATCAATATCTTGGTGTACTTCATTATATGATGAAATATCTCTTTGAATAGCATTCCTTGGACGTCGTATAAGTTTTTTTTCTGTCATTATTTTTCTTCTATAATGCGAATAAACGATTGCCTTTGAATTAATTATATACGTATATATCTAACCTTGAGACACTACAGTGAAGTAAAAAAAAATACAGCAAGATGAAAATATTAATCGATATGCTTCGATAAATTTTCTCTACATTTTTTTTTTGCCTTTCTCGTTCCTCTTCGTTCTATTTGATTTTTTCCTATACGAGATATATGGCGAATATTTACGCAAAGAGGATTCGACGCATTGTCGTTTTATTATTTTCAATTTCTCTCATGCTCTCTTCTCCTCTTCCTCTTGTTTTGGTTCGTTTTCTTCTTGTATTTTTCTGTATTAGTAATAACATCATTATCGTATAATATATCTCCTTTATTCACTTAGTTCTTTAGAATAACGAAAGAGCACAAAGAAGAAAAAAATCGAGAAAAAAAGAATAATATCTGTTATGGGCATGTCTTTTATCTTTGAGAACAAACAGAGAACAGAACAAATTCGTTTCTATATATAAATTTATGTATTTTTTTTTTCACTCGAACAACACTAAGTACATTTTGTAGTATGCAATGATGGCAAACGAATAATGGAATGTTAAAAAGAACAACAGATAAAATTTCTTCGTCAAACGAGTGAATCATTGAAAACATACGACTGATGTAAATTTTATTATGCTTGAATATTTCAACCTATTTATTCGGTCATCTTTAGCAAAACATTAACTACTGTTAGAGAACACTCTAACAACGTTCATCATTATTTATTGTATTTTATTCTTCTTCATTTGTTACGTGTATGTGTATTCATTTTACTATATGTTATCCACTCTCATACAAATAAGTTAATCTTTTTTTTTCTTTTCTTCTTTCCTTCATTCTTGAGAATTCAATAAACTCTCAACCTTTTCTTTTGTTCTAACTTTAAGTGCATTGAAGATGCCGAACATTATCTTCATTATTACGTAGTCTAATCCAACGTGGACAAGAATATTTATTATCCCCCCTATCCGTCTGTATCTTTTGCTTATGTATTTTATCTCTCGTTGTATTTTTTTTTGTCTGTTCTTTTTTTTTTTCTCTGGTGTGTGTTGGTGATGTATAAATAGTGAAGAATAAAGAAAAGAATAAAAAGTTCAGGAGAAAAGGAGGTAAAAGAAAGTTGAAGTTGTTAAAAGTTGGTCAACAAGAAAATCTGATTATATTCTATTGATCAAGTTACAGTCGAGAGCATCTGTAACATCTACATATACTTTTTATTTTAGATATGAAAATATACTCAATGCCTTCAAAGAAGGAAAAATCGAAGATGCAAGAACATGATTCATCCCATTTTCGTACGTTCGATTTTTCGTTCTTTGAAGACACTACGTATACTTCCATATCTAAAAATAAATGGTATGTATAGATAATATTTTCCTAGAGATGACTGAATAAACAAGTAGAAAT